CAATCAATCAATCAATCAATCAATCAATCAATCAATCAATCAATCAATCAATCAATCAATCAATCAATCAATCAATCAATCAATCAATCAATCAATCAATCAATCAATCAATCAATCAATCAATCAATCAATCAATCAATCAATCAATCAATCAATCAATCAATCAATCAATCAATCAATCAATCAATCAATCAATCAATCAATCAATCAATCAATCAATCAATCAATCAATCAATCAATCAATCAATCAATCAATCAATCAATCAATCAATCAATCAATCAATCAATCAATCAATCAATCAATCAATCAATCAATCAATCAATCAATCAATCAATCAATCAATCAATCAATCAATCAATCAATCAATCAATCAATCAATCAATCAATCAATCAATCAATCAATCAATCAATCAATCAATCAATCAATCAATCAATCAATCAATCAATCAATCAATCAATCAATCAATCAGCTGATAAAGCGCTATTTCCGCGATGTTCAACAGCGCTCCTTAATGAATTTTGAAAAGAGATGGGTCTTGAGATCCGCTCTGAACTTCGCAAGTGATGGAGAAGTAGTCAGAGAAGTAGGTAGAGAGTTCCAGAGAAAAGGACCAGAAAAAGCAAAAGCAGATTTGGCAAAAGAGTGTTTAACACGAGTTAAGAAAAAGCGAGAAGAAGACGATCGTGAACCGGGGCGTTTAGGTTCAATTAATATATCTGATAAATACTTAGGAAATAATTTAGATTGAGACTTATACAGGAAGGTGATGAAGGTCTTTTCCTGATATGTTAATTGAGTGGCGACTTGATAGTTATGTTTGCGCTGACGAAGGTTGTGTGTTGTAGTTTTAATTGGTGGTAGTAGAGGATGGATGACGTGGTTGTTGTTATTTTCTACTATCTTGAACAGCCTTGAATCGAGTACGTTGAATATCTGAGTGACGGTAGGATATGATGCAGGTAGATAGTTGAAGCGAATTAGTTTTTGGATGAGAGATTGTAGTTGCTGAAGTTGTTGTTGTGTAGCAAAATCAGACCAGGAAGGAGCTGCATATTTGATGCGTGAGATAAGTGATTCAGTGATGTCGAATAATTTGATGCCTCTGAGACCATGTGAGCGGAGTGTTTTGAGTGCGTGAAATGTTTGAAAGCTTTTTGTGATGATGTAATTGATATGAGGTGCTACATTAAGTGTGGAGGTGAATGTTATGCTTAATATTTTTAATTGATTCGTGGAAGTAATGCTATTTTCTTACGACTATTGTGTTGTGAATCATGAGTTCGAATGATTTATTGAAGTTAATTGACAGATTGCATTGTTTTGACCATGTAGTTAATGAGTTGAGTTCTGAAGTTCAATTAATCCTCTGTGACTTCGTTAATATGTCTGCTTTCGCTTTCTTTGTTCAGTACATTGAAACAATTTCTTGCAATACGTACTCGCTTGTATCAAAACTTTGCTTCTGTTTGCTCTTTACTTTTAAATAAATTGTGAACTTGTTCCGTCATTAAATTATTTTACTTTTTTATTTCTTAAATTATTTTAAATATTCATACATTATATTATTTTAAATAATTATTTATTACATCATCACATCATTCATCTGAAGACTTCAAATTTTATTTTTGTTACAAAACTAACAAAGACAAAAATTGATTACATTAAACATTTGCTTGTAATGAATATATATATATTGGTAATAGACCATAATTTTTTCAATATTCTATAAACTCTACTGAATGTTTGGCGTTAATATGTTTGTAGTTCGTTTTTTCAATTTTTCTCACTAAAGTTTTTTGGTGAACGTTTAGTTTATTAAAATTCAAAATAAACTTGTTTTCCAAATTCATGCTGCAAATAATCGAAATATGGCCTTATTTGCAGCAGGAATTCGGAAAATAAGTTTATTTTGAATTTTAATAAATTAAACGTTCACCAAATGCATTTGCCTGCGTGTCTGTCGTTTAAAAATGTGTTGGGTGGATGTGTATTGCGGAGGTGGGTAGGTATGAGTGGTTCACATAAACATCAGAGGTCGGTGGACATGTTAATTACATTTACTGAGGCAATAGCTAGTTTATATATTTTCATTTTCAAAAATTTTTTTTTAAATTAAATTAGTCAAAATTTTTTTAGCAAATATCACGTATTTTACTACTAATTTACACAATTTGCGAATTTATTTTACTACTAATTTTTTTATCGCTTTTAATTGTTACATTTTATTCGGGCATTTTTTTCAAGAACAGGTATTGACTTTTTTACAGTTTTTATTTGATAAGAAAATTTATGTACAATATAAAATTAATAATAATGACAAAAAATATATGACAAATTCAAATAAATTTCAAACTATTTAGATAGAATGAAGAAAATATTAGGAAATCCTTGGAGCATAATTGAAATCTGTTGGTGCATTCATAAAACTTGGCATCTGTAAGAGATAAGGATTATGAATAGAATTAACGTTGTTCATTATTCCAATAGATGCCGGTGAAATCTGTATCAATTTGAATGGAGATTTTGGAGCAATTTTCGCGGGTTTTTTACACTTAGCTCGTCGGTTCTGAAACCAATTTCTGATCCTTTCTTCATCTACATCCAGAATCTTGCAGATGTGTAGAATTACGGACTTCACTGGATATCCATTGGAATTTTGAAAAGCGTTTTCAAGTATTTCTGTTTCATGGTCGTTATAAACTCTTCTAGTTCTTCGGTCGGATGGCTTCTTGTTTGTTTCTGGCGAGATCAGGTTTTCACCATTAGGCGAACTTGATTTTTCTTCTTTAGTTAGTGCTGGCATCAAATTGATCGACTCTGTATTGATTGAAATACTTTCCTCTGAAACGATGTCTCCTGCATGTGTAGGAATTATTTGTTCTGATTGCTCTGAATCTCTCGAGTTGTTTGAAGTGTCTTGTTTTCGTTTTTTATTTGAACATAATTTTTTTTCTTCCGATGATTTTAATGTTGCGCAATCTTCTTCATCATCTGTACAAGACATTGTTAAACGTTTGCGAGATTTTGATTTGTTTTCACTTTTAGAAATCGATTTCATTTGATGAATTATCATAGGTAATTCTGTGACCCCACTTGGACTACTTTCTTCTTCTTCTTCAGATTCAAATGAAGAATTCAGACGGCCTGGTAACGATCCGACACAAGGAGAGAAGTTTAATAAATTGTTCTGCCCTGATGCTTCCGTATGAGAAAATAATTTTTCAGCTTCAAACTTCATTGTGCTTTTAAACGAGTAATATAATTGTTGGTGTTCAGCAGCTGTTGAGCACAAGTCTTTAATTCTTTTGAAATCAACAAAACTATTCTTCAGCCCAATCATATTACTTTTAATTCTCTAGACGCAAATTCACAAATGTATTGAGAACTATAATACAAATTAATCTTATTTTCAGAAAATTTTAATAAGTACGAATTATTCTCTATTTCAGAAAATTTTTAAAATTTCTTTTTTAGAAATTGTATCAAATACGATCTAATTTCAATTTAATAATAAATCAATAAAACCAGTTTAACTTCACCTCATTACACGACGAATAAATCAGAATAGTAATTTGATTGTTTATATATATATCACCGAATGTAGTAAAATTTTGCACTTTGTTACTAATCCTATTGGCTGGCACTATAAAATTAATTTACAATCTATCCAATGTTAGACATACGATAATGGACATCGTAAATATTCTATTATTTCAACATAGTTAGCAATAACTAGTTCATTATTATTCTTTATAATGGTAAAAATGATTTTGATTTATTTATCATACAAGTACAAATTTAGTACACATCTTTTCATAATGAGTTTTACTGCCTTATTGGAAGATTGGGTGCAGCCAATTTTGATTCGTTTTGTTTGGTTATTATGGGCTATAACTATTTCTTGAATATGAAATGGAAGACAGTTTTAATTTTAATAGAATATCGAATTACTATAACGTGACTGGTTTATTGCGTCATATTAATTACAGATTACAGATTAATGAAAATCTGATTTGAACCACGGCGTAGTATTCAAATTAAGAAACCATAAAAATATTAAGTGATTGATGACATTTTTATTGCAAAACTTAAAATTAATTATTTTTTTAATCAGTTCGTTATTATTATGGAAAAATTTTCAGTCACCGAGTTAGCTCAGTCAGTAAGAATGCCATGTCATGCGCTGCTATAACGCGATGGCATGGTTCGAATACTGTCTCTCCGAATCTCAAGGACCCGTATGATGTGTTGCTTGCGTGGGCCTGGGCATACGTAGTGTGTTAATGCGTAGTGTGGTGTGGTTTAGTTATGGGTATAGCACAACATGTAAGCAGAGCTGCTTTATAAATAATAATAAAAAAATAATACATGAATCATTTAATCAACATTTACGTGAAAACAAGTTTCGGATTGCAGCATCAAGGATTTCCGTTCGATCACATTGCTTCTTTACATAACCAGCGACATTGGGAATTTCGGTAAATTCATTTAAATCGTTTAATTGATGGATGTAAGTTGTTAATTGGTGCCAATAAAGGACAATTGAATAGTTGCTTTATAGGTCAATCACGTTAATTAATTTTTTCTTTTGCCAATAAAATGAATAATTTTTATTAGTGCATATTTTTTAATGAGAAATTGGATACAAAAATAATAAAATATTTAAATAAATAAATAATAAAATTTTCTTTATTTGAAGTTAGAATTAGGCGTAAATTTAGGATTACGTAATAATTGACGGGGTTCCCATAGTTAGATTTCATCAGTTGTGTCACTCTTCAATTAATCCTCTGTGGCTTTGTCTTCTAACTACTTGCTGTTACGTATTTGCTTGTATCAAAAATATGCTGTCAATTTATTATTTTGAGCTGTTTAAGTATTTGTTCATTTCAAATTATTTTTGATTATTCATTTATATTGATTATTTAGTCATTAAACTATCGAATCATCCGTCAGGAGACATTAAATTTTATTTGGCTTACAAAATTAACAAAGACAGAAGATGATTGAATTAAATATTTTTGTACAATAAATATTTTGTAGAAAATAATATAGTTTTAAAAATTTTTAACCAAACAAAATTTATTCAGGGTTTTTCATAATTTGAGTTAATTTGCACTTTGATGTGTTAATTGTCTTGTTGAGAATCTGATATCATGTCCGTCGTTAAAAATTGTAATTTTTTCTCGATTTTCAAGAAGCCAGCGGCCAACGCCGGCCAACAAATATCTCTCGTAACTAATTCATGCTGACGTAAATCAACTCGGCGACAAGCAGCAATTTTTGTTTGCGAAGTGTTAGGCAGTCGTTGAATTTAGACACAAACACTCTTCTTTCTCCCTTTTGTTGCAAGTGTCAAAATCGAAAAATTAATTCCTTCGAAACAAATTACTATTTTGCATTGTTTCACAATTAAAAAATTTTATTGCCCAATTGACGAATTGATTGCATAACGTAGAACAATTAAGCACGCACACTAACATGTTCGAGATAACAACCTAATCGCGATCTGTCATTATACATTTGATCGTAAAACAATCAGCAGTTACATCACATGATCGGCTCGAGGTTGAATGGTTGGTTTGTGCACTGCATGGAGCAAAACAAGTATTTGCTTCAGATGCATTAACTTCATGAAAAGCATAATATTAAAAGATTGATAATGCTGTTCAAACAAATTGTACTAACCGGTACCAAGGTAACAAACGTCTACAAAATTGAACAGTAACCAATAATAATTAGTCTATGATGGAGAAAACGAATGAATGAAGCTGATGTGAAGCAAAAATTGAAAAAAAAATCAGCAGCCAAAAAATTAAAAATTGAATGAAAATTGAAATTATTTATTCTTGCTTGTACTATAATCTAAACAATGGAAACTCCTCTGCCGAAGTGTGATAATATCAGATTTAAAGCTAAAAAATTAGTTAAATTGAAAAATGTAAAATATGCAGAAGCTGTTAATCTGTTTGCATTCGAGGTCATCAATATTTCAGGGCCGGGTTGACTGGCCAGTCCTTCGAACTGCTCACTAGATGGCATCACATGATTCGTTGATTTGTTCATGGGTGGAGCTTCAAAATGTTTCAAAATTATATTCTTATTCAAATATTAGAATATAAACATATCAATTTTAATATAATTATATTTGTTAATTCAATCATAGAAATAAAAGAAATTCCATTCTTAATTGTTTGTTTTTGCACAATTTTAAAAAGTTAAAAAAAAATTAAATAAAAATTGTAACTAAAATTTGAACAAAAACAGTTACTTATTTTCTGCTTTAACTCAGTGTAAAAAACTGTAGTGCCGATGTTGTTCGTGGCCACCAACGTGTACTTCCGAAAGTGGTGGGATTGTATCTTCTTGATGAATAATTTGGTTTCCATGGTTGTTTCATTAATCACCTGGATGGATGGTCAATGAATTATTAGATAGCTGCTAGGTTGTACGGTCGGAATGTTAGTTGGCTGTTTAATTGGTTGGATTATTGGTTGACTAGATGGCTGGTTAAATGGCTGGTTAGATGGCTGGATGAATCGATTGTTAGTTGGAAGATTAACGCTTTTTACAGGATCATAAAAATTGAACGTTTGTCAGTCACGTTTTGTTTGTTAAAAATAAATTTGACGCAATTGTCATGAGCAACTTGATTGATTCCTTTGATGAAATATTTCAAAAAAAATTGCCTTCGCACCTTCGAGATTTCTTCCAAAATATCGGCCTCGTATACAACCTCGCAAACCAATTTCTCACATAGGTAGGCCCTACCTTAGGAAGCCTGAAATTTTTTGATAATGAGGAGGAACAATATTGATAAAAAAAGTTAGCGACCATTTTTTTTTATACTTTTTATACTTTGTCAATTTACTAAACTGATTTTCGTTATTTTTACAAAATTTAACAAGTTTAACAAAATTTTTACATAATTTTATTGTTAGAAGAGTGGGACTGGGAGCTTCAAATTTGTATAAAGATATTGTTCAATTCAACCTTAGCAAATATCTTCATTGCAGGAGGCTTCATCCTCCAAAGCCCTCCCTCTAGCTACACCTCTGCACATACGTCGCATGATATAATAGACTACGTAGCGCTGATGATGTCGACACCTCACCAGATCTTGTGAAATGTTTAGTTTAATTTGCTGAATAATTGGTGATCAACAATAAGCATTGTTGTCATTGAACAGATGTAAAAGTAACATCGGTATTACGGATATTGATACCGACCTCGATATTCCCGTACCTATATCGAACCGCTCATTTGCGTGGTACTGAACAATTTTTTACTAAACTAAATAACCAAAACATTACCGATAATCGATAATTATACTATATGCCGTTAATTTACCGACGTAACGATAAACGTGAAGAATGTGATGCTTATATAGTGAATTAAGCTGGTAGCTTGCTACTAGTTTCGTGTAGCACTCACTCTTTTGGGCATAAAATTTTCTGTTTCAGTTTCTGCGTTTGTCAGATCCTGATTTTTAAAGAATAATAAAACAAAATGTTCAATTTGGCTATGGAAACCCTGCAACGAAAATGCTTCCAACACCTCAAATACCAGTACTTTCATATCAAATGCGAAAGAACAACGAGAAATCTTAACGACTTACCAAATAACCCTTATTTCAAATCAATAAATACTCAATTAAATTAATCGGTACTGGGTCTGTATGGGATTCGACTTTTTCAAATTTAAGTTTAGAAACAGAAATCCTATCGGATGAAATTTCCAGTGTCACTATGTCTAGTCACTATGGTTTCATTAGATACAATTAGATATAAAATTAAAATTAGATATAAAGATTTAATTCAAATCGAATTAATACGTCTTAATAGATTTTCGTATAAATTATCATATAGGAACATTATACATGGAAACAAACAAATGTTAAAACTTGCATCCTCTATATCAAGAACATGTGTGATTATGTACACTACACATGTTAACACAATTTGCAAATCACTTCTCACAATTATACTGCTTTATGTTAATGTCTGGTGATTTAAAAGTAATTAAGATAAAATCAAGATAGGGCATAAATTGGTCGGCTCAATCAATCGTAATTCTTCTCGCTTCAAACCAATTCGCATATATGCATACGTTCATTAAATAATATACATTTATATACATATTCACATGTACAAGAATGGATGTACATAAACGTATAAGCGTAGACAAGCAAGTATTTATGAAGATATACATAGAAATGTAGACATATGCGTTGCATATTAAAACCTTGTTGATTATAATCCGTCCCAAATTTAGCTTAGCCGGATTTTAAAAAAATGGTCAAAATTTTCAAATAAAATAATTGTCTCGGAAATTGTTAGC